TTAAATAGTGGAGTGATGGGGGCAGAGGCAGATTTGGAAGTATGGAAAACAAGTAACCCCTTATTCAGGGCCTTACATCATGGGAACAGTGTGCGAACACTGACAACCATGTTAAATATCGTTTATTCGCATGTGAAATGGACAGTTGAGGCGCACACCTAACACACCTCCTTATTCCTTTTGTCCACGCAGGGGCTGCAACTCCCCCCTTCCTTGAAAGCTCTTCCCCTCGCCTCAGCCATTTAAAACATTTTCTTCTCTGTCCACCCTTCGAGACCTGGTGTGAATAGCGTCCCCTCGCCCGCCCTGCCCAAAGCCTCTTGCCCCAACCGCTGAAGTCTTGTAGTCTCTTCAGAGTCTGCTGCCTGGTGTGACAGTGACTTTGGAAATTTGACCAACTCCCTCCGTCACGCCACCTGAAGACAAAGCCAGGTCCAAGGCAGGGCTCAGTGGGGCACGAGGAAAGGGGCGGCAGGCAGGCCGTGCTGCGCTCGGGTCTTGGATGCCGAGCGCGCGTCCCTGGATAGAGACCAGAGAAGGGCCTCGGGGACGCTGGCGTGGTCCTGCCCTCCAACTCAGCCCTTGGGAAGGTACACCATGGCCTCAATCCTAAGCTCTTGTGGAAGAGGCCTGCTTCTCCAAACTCCAGTGCTTAGAGCCCTAATGCTCTTGGGCTCATTCTCCCCCCTCAAACCCCAGAGATTTGAAAACCGGCTCTCTGCAACTCCATTCACATTCCACCAAAATGGAACTGAAGCTTCAGGGGGAGCTCAGATCCCCAAGCCAAAGGGACGGGAATCAGTGAGGGGGTGGGAAAGACCTAGGGCCCCTGGGAAGGGGAGGAGGGAGTGCAGGGGTGAAGGGGCAGTGAGCTGTTGGGCACAGAAGATTCCCTGAAGCTAGAGGACCAAGCTGGTCAACACGGCTGCATACAGAGGTTGAGGAGCAGGCACACAAAGAAAAGAGGTCCCATGCCATACAGGTAGCCCACAGCCACCTAGCCACAGCAAGGTGACCCTGTCTACCTACAAGACGAAGGAAAGAGCTTAAACAAGAACCTACTCTGAGCCAAAAATTGTGCAAAGTGTTCTACATGACACTCAACATCATTTAATCCTCCCACATTGCCGTAGCGTAGAGCTCATTGTTCCCATTTTGCTATAAAGTCCGCACAGGGCGCAGTCCTCCTGACTTATCTCGGCCGAGCCCCCTCCCCGGGCGATCTCCGCCAGACTCCTTCCTCCCCTACAGGCTGGAACTTCCAATATCATACCTCTTCAGCCCACACGTCTCCACTAAGGTGTCTAATAGCTCCTCAAAATCATCTGGTCCCAAACTGAACTCCTGAATGTTCCCAGATCTGTGCCTCCTTTGTCTTCCTCATCTCTGCAAATGGTAGCTCCATCCCTCCAGCCGCTTAGAACAAAATCCTGCCGTCACCCGCCATTCTGCTCTTTCTTTCCCACCTCACACATCTACTTCCTTCCATCCACAATGCGAGCACTCCCTCGCTGCCCTCTCCGCTGCCATCCCGGCACCCATTTTCTCTCAAGACGATTCCAATAACCTCCGAAGGAAGGGTCTCCATGCGTATAATCTCAACAGAACAACTAACGATCCCTTTCAAACATAAGTCAGATCACTTCACTCTCCTGCTCAAAACCCCTCCATGGCTTCCTATCTCGGAGTGAGTCAAAGCCCTTGCAATGCCTACAAGGTTCTGCCCACCAGCCAGCGCGCCGTCTGACCTCATCCACTTTCTCTCTCGCTTCCTCCATTCCCGTCCAATGCCCTTCTGGCCGATCCCCCGAGCACAGCACGCAGGACCAGTCAGTCCTCCGGTTTTGCGCCTGTTCTCTCCGCCAGAAAACTCCCCCTCCACATCCGGTCAGCTCCCTTCAGGTCTCTGCTCAAACGCCACCTTATCAGGAAGGCCTTCTCTGAATGTCCTATATGATATAGCATCTCCCTTTCCCCACAATCCCTCATTCTCCTTCTCCATTTGTAATCTTACAGCCATTGGCAACTGGCCCCCCAGGGAGGCGAGACACCTGGGTCACAGGAGGAAGAAAAGATGCTTAGATTCCTTGAGCACTTCCTACATGCCAGGTATTGCGTGAGGTGCTCTCCAGACAACATCTCATTTGATCCTACCACAGACCTGGGGGGGCCTAAGTTCCCATTTATGAAGGAAGACATTCAGGCTCCGTGAGGCTAAGTCTTCAAAGTAACGTGTTTTATTGGGCATACTCGAAGAAGACAGGCCTGCCCAGTTAGCAGAAGACCACCGCTGGGGAGGGCTGTTCCCATTCGGTATCAGAGTGATCAGCTCCAAGGGAACTGAGACATGAATCTTGCCTGCTTGGGAACGTAAAACTGGTCCTCCTCCAGGCTTCCCCAGGGCAGTAAGCAGCATCTGGTCCCCAGCGCCTACCCCACCCCACTTTGGCAAGTGATCTGGAATCCCAGCCAGCCCCCCACATCACTAAGAGATCCTCTCCCCTTCATTGCCCGGCCGCAGAAGTGTGCAGCCCCGGTCGTTTGCACCTGGAGGGCTGCAGCAGCCTCTCAACTGGTTTCTCCACCCTGGGCCTCCCGAGTCCATGCTTTGCACACGACTCAGAATGCACTTACCAAAATGTAAAACTGATCCTGCTTTCCCTGCTTCAAACGCATCAAAGCCTCCCCGTGGTCCTCAGAACAAACCTCATGTCCACAACATGGCCTGTGCCTGCCCTGTGCAATCTGACCCCGTCTGCCTCCCAGCCCTGCCAGGAACTCCTTCCCCTACTCTCGGGATGCCAGCCACACTTAGTGCCTGAGATGTGCTAGGACTTCCTGCCTCAGGACCTTTGCACAAGCTATTTCCCTTACCTGTACTTCTCTTTTCCTTGCTTTCCAACCTACCTAACATTGCTCATTTGATGGTTAGCTTAGCTGTTCTCCTCTCAGAAAGGCATTCTCGGAGCTCTGGACATATTTCCTTCCATTGTATTGTTTATCACAATGTGTGAGTTCCTATCTATTTATGTAATGATTTATTTAATGTTTGTCTCCAGGAAAACAGAGGCACGATCTTTGGCTCTCTGTGGTCTTCTTGGTGCCAAGCAGAAGGCCTAGCTCATTGTGGGCATTCCGCAAATACATATTCTATAGACATAAGGATGGATAGATGTTCTAACAGGAAGCTCCCACTGAGTTTTCTTTTTGCCTCAGGCTCCAGTATAGTTTGGCATAGCACTCTTATTGGTCCCGTCTTTATTTAAAGGTTTGATATTTTGTTCATTAAGAATTTTTTGGCATTAATTTTCATTCTTGAAATGTTTTCTTACAATATTTTTTATCTTGATTACTGAGTATTCTCGGTGCCCGCTTAAATTTTGTGCCCGAGGTCAGTGCCTCATTTCCCACACCCAAGTCCCAGCCCTGCCCACAGTGAGGAATTAATAAATGGCAACTATTGTGAAAGTAATTATCATAAAGATAAGATGCAATAGGGTCACCACAGGGCTTAGAGCCTGGCAAACTTAGGTTCCCACCTGGCTCGTTCAATGATCCGTCCTTCACTTACTTGTGAAGCACATAGTCGATGGCTTTTGAGAACACGCTGTGTGCCGCCTGCCTCTCCGCATGCTAGAATACAGTAATGGGCAGAAAGACTCCAAGTCTCCACTCTTAGGGGGGCTTCTAACCTGGAAGCCCTGCCACTGACCAGCTTGTGACCTTCCATGAGTCATGGAGGTTTCCTGAGCCTTAGGTTTTTCATCTGGAAAGGATGATAATAATATCTGCCTATGTTGCACAAGGCTGGGAATTTTAGCAGTCAGGTCTGTCAGCGAAACCATATCCCAATACCCCAGTACAGTGCACCATCTGATATTATTTGCAGTTTTAAGGACAGACACCCAAAAAGGGTAAGCATCCTGCCTGGGGTCACACAACTCTCAGAAACAAGGGCAAATCTAGTTTTCCTGCTTCAGAGTCAAGGCTCTGCTCTGCTGTGCAAGGACAGATCTCCCCCTTCCCATGCCAGCATCTCCCTGGGACCTCAGTGGAATGGGAAAGGGCAGTGACCCCTTCCTTTTGCAGGGAGGACAGCCCTGCCCTGTTGTGGCCCGCCCTGGGCATAGTGGAGCCTTGAGGAGGGTCTGAGGGAAGGAATGGACAGGAGTTGTTAGCAGGTGAGGAAGAGAGATCTTAGAAAAGGATAAATTAAAAACAGGAATGGGAGAAGGCATCCAGAAGAGGGGACAGGCCACACCACTCCGTGGTCTTGCCCTCTCCTTCTCCTTCCTGCTTCCCCAAGGCTCTCGGGGACAGAGAAGCGGGTCCAAGTCTCTTAGTAACATGGCTGTGTCTCACGTTACCATTCTCCTGGCAGAATCAGAGGTTGACCTGTCATATTGTCTCTCCTCTCTCTCTCACAAAATCCAACCCAATTTGTGACAAATTCTTTTAAGATGTCTACCCTCCGCACCAAAGCACTTAATGTCAGAGGGTGGTGAGAAATCAGCAGGGCCTGGAAAGAGGTGGGGGTGGGCTCCTTCCAGAGGAGGTGCAGACTTCTGAACACCTGTCAGGGGTGCAGGCACAGGGAGAGGCTCAAAGCCTTGCCCTGATCCCAGCGCACTGGGGCCCAAGGAAGCCTTAATGTATAGATAGGGTAGCAGGCAGAGCCTTGCAAGAAGCAGAGAAGGTTATTCCACTGAAACCATGCTGGACACATCAAAAGTGTGTGTGGTTTCGTTTGGGCCTCTGACAGGTCAGGATGTTAGAACTGAAGGAGAAAAAGTCAGAGCCCTGAGCAGGAAGCAGGAAAGAGTCCAGGAGTGGGAAACGGAAGCTCCTTGACTCAGCTCTATGTCACAGAAAGCTCACTTAAAATGTCCTATAGGAAGACAAAAAAAAAGGTGATTGGTTTATGTTCTTGAAAGGAACAAATGCTGGGGAACACCGGCCCCAGGGCAAAGGGCCTCCCGAACTCTGCACTCCCGCCTGCATCACACTTGCTCTCCTGCAGCTGCACTCCCGGGGCCTTCAGGGAGCGGCCTCTCCCCTTCAGCAGGAGAAGGACCCGGACTGCGCTGCGGGATCCCTGTTACCAGGACGGACAGAGCCCTGGAGAACCTAATCCTTCCCTCAGGGAAGCGCAGCATAGGTTGCTGAAGAAAGAAGGAAGCTAGAAAAAATAAGCATACACATGTGAAGCTCCTACTTTGTTTGTTCGACAAAAACCTCTTGGTCTTAAAGTATTGATTTACTTTAAGGAATTGTCTTAAATTATTGAGTACCACATTACATGTTTGTGCTCATTTATCCATTAAGTGCGTGGTACAGGCACAGCCACAACATGCCTTGGATTTTATCATTTTCATGCCTTTGGCTTAAAGGGCGAGCTCTAGTATCGGAAGACATGGATTTGATTCCTGGCTTTGCCCCTCCCTAGCTGCGTGGGCCAGTTACTTCGCTATTCTGTGCCTCCGTATCCTCCTCTGTAGAAGGGGATGACAATTGTACCTATTTCACAGGGTTGTAGTGAGGATAGAATTATAAAATATTCATAAAACTCTTAAAACAGTAAGTGGCTCAGGTCTTATTACAATTTCTTGTTATTACTACTCTTTTGCAGTTACCACTAACTAGAATGTTCTTCCTCCTTTCTCTGCATTTTAAAATGGCATTATATGATCTCGGTCCCATTTTTGAGACCCAATTCAAATACTATCCCGTTCACGATTTCTTCTCACTATGCTAATCCCAAGGGATCTCTCTCTTCTTCTGAAATCCTCATTGGGCAATAAGATTCCCTAGCTCTGAATGGCAGGGACTTTCTCAGTCCTGTCCACCTCCACCCTGACTAGAATAAAAGCACCTTTACTAATGTTTACAGTAGTCTTCCTTAACAAGCACTAGCTTCATTAAAAGCAATGAGCCTAAATCTCCCAACAAAGAAAAGCCCTAGGTCACATAGCTTCACTGGTGAAATCTACAGAACATTTAAAGAAGAATTAACACATCAAACTCTTCCAAAAAGTAAAAGAGAAGGAAATACTTCCTAACTCATTCGATGAGGCAAGCATTAACCTGCTATATGAACATATGTTCATGCAAAAACTTGGGCAGTGCATGAATGTTTATAGCAGCATTGTTCCTAATATCCGCAAACTGGAAATAACCCAAGTGTCTAACAAAACTAAACATACGCTTACCATGCAATCCAGCAGTCATACTTCTCGGTAGTTTCCTCAAAGAAGCTGAAAAGTTATGTCTACACAACAACCTACACGTGGATATTTATAGAAGCTTTATTCATAATTGGCAAAACTTGTATGAAGCCACGATGTTCTTCGGTAGGTGAATGGATCAACAAATTGTGGTACACCCAGACAATGGAATATTCAGTGCTAAAAATAAATGAGCCCTCAAGCCATGAAAAAGAGACGGAGAAACCTTACATGCAGATTACTAAGTGAAATAAGACAATCTGAAAATGCTTCATGCTGTATGATGCCAGCGGCCCAGGGGGTTAGGGACGGGACATGAATAGGCAGAGCACAGAAGATTTTGAGGGCAGTGAAAATACTCTGTGTGATACCATAATGATGGCTATATATCATTATACATTTGCCCAAACCCATAGAGTGTATAATACCGAGTGAATAATACCGAGTGAATAATGTAACCTGTGGACCCTGGATAACAATGCTCCATTCTGGTGGGCGATGTGGATAACGGGGCAGGCTGTGCAATTATGTGAGGCAGGGGGTGTATGGGTAATCTCTATATCTCCCCCCTCAAGTTTGCTGTGAATCTAAAACTGCCTTTTAAAAATAAAGTTAATTTAAAAAAACTAAAATCCCCAGCCACATAGCTCAGTTGGTTAGAGCATCATCCCAATACGCCCAAGGTTCTGGGTTTCATCTCCAGTCAGGGCACATACAAGAATCAACCAGTGAATGCATAAGCAAGCGGAACAACAGATCTGACATCTCTGTCTCTCTCTCTCTTTCTCTCTTTCCCCCTTCCTGTTTCTCTCCCGAAAATCAAATTTTAGAAAAAGATACAGAGAAAGGTAGCTATTCAGAATTTAACGTAATTCCTGTTGGGTACTACTTCTTGTTTGTTTGTTGTTTTTTAAATTTTATTAGGCAAAAGAGAAGATATTCACTGAGCTATTGCGTTTTACTTTGCTTGATTTGTGGAATCTTTTTTGGGGAGTTTGGGGGACATCTGTAATAGTGTCAACAATAAAAATAGAGGTAAAAATTTTTTTGTGGTTTTTATTTAACATGGAGGACTTCTTGTAACATATTCCCATAAATATCTTTAAAATAATGCTGTATCTTTGAAGTGAAATGGGACGGTTGTTAATTGGTCAATGCTGATCATTTATTTACATGAATCATGACCCCATTAACTGAATATTCTCTTCCTAAATACCAGCAATTTTAGACTTAAATTATCTAAATAATTAATTCAGTTTTTTGTTAGCTTGCTATTGTACACTCAACCTTTGACTTAAAGACGAATATAACCTTTTGTAAATGTATCTGACATTACTAAATTATTATTTTTTAATGGTCCTTATCTAATTAGAGTCTTAATCTGAAATTACTTTCTTCCCTTAACCCCAGGCAAGTAACTGCTTTAAATTTCAAAAAATACACGAGATAACAGTGAGATGTTGGCTGTCTTACTAGAACTCAACTGGAAAATGCAACAAGACCTTTTTCCAAAAATAAAATAAGGTGGCAGAGAGTTGTGCTCTCTTTGCATGGACTAGAATTAAAGCAAATGTAAAGAGTTTGTTTACAACAGCATTTGTGACAAAAGGTTGGTTTATTATTTTAACATCATTGGTTCTCTAATAAATAGTATGAGCAAACAAATAACAAAAAAGATCAAGTCCCTTGGTCTTTGAGTTTGTTCCCTGTTTGCATTTGCTTGTTTTTAAGTGTCTGCCTTAGGTCATTTTTTTCCTCTCCAGTGGGCCAGGAGGGGTGTGATCCTACCTGCTGTTTTATGGCGAGCAAGCATTCCTACTGACACAGACAGCAGTAATTAGTCAGAACAACACTGATGCTATGATGTGGGCTTGCCCAGCCAACAAAAAAAGGATTAGGAATATTCAGTTATCTGGAGTTTGAGTTTCTGATTTTTTTCTTTCATCAGTTTTTGCCTTGTGGACAGATGCCTGGAAAATAATTTCTTATTTGATTAATTGCATCATTTTGCATTTGTGGTCTATGCAATAAATTGTATTTGTTTTGAAATTAACTGACTTCATCTGGGCCTCTTCAAGAGTTCTTTGTCTCTGGTGGTTTGCAGATCACCTACCAGTAGCACAACTCCCTGGGAGGTTGAAAATGTGCAGAGTCTATCTTGCCAGCTTCAAATTGTGAGTTAATTGTGGGGTCTGGCTAAGAGATTTTCATTTGTAAAGGTAATAAGTAATTCTTTCACCTGCTAAAGATTAAGAATCTTATATATATCTGCAATATACATATATTTACATATATATGCATATGCATTGTCAGTTAACTTTATATTAATCAAGAGATCTGAGAAGATGTGTCATACCCACCACTGATCACTGAAATTCAAAACCATTCCTGAGGGGGAGGTGGCGCCTGTGTTAGCTTCCTAGGGCTGCTGTTACAAACTACCACACTTGGCTTAAAAAAGAAATTTATTCTCTCGCAGTTTTGGTGTATAGAAGTCCAAAATGGAAATATTGTGGTCCAATGTTTGTGTTCTCCTCCCCCAAATTCATATGTTGCAACCTGACCACCAAATAATAATGCAATATTATTATTTCTTTGGGCAAGTAATTAGGGTTAGATGAGATCATGAGGGTGAAGCTAACATTCGCTTCCCTATGAAGGCCTAGCAAATAATATTTAGGACTGATAACTGTATATATGCTGAGTTAAACTATGATTTGTGGTTGGGTTTCCTCTGAAAAACAAACTTGTATACTTGTGTACTTACATGACATTTTGTTTTTCTGAATGACACTCAGTCTACCTTGTGTATACTTGTCCTACCTTTATATGAAATTAAGGATTCTATATCCTTATATCCATCTTATGTCCCCGGCATTTTTTAGCAAAATGTCTTGCATGTAGCAGTAGCAGGTGCTCATCAAAGGCTGGTTGGATAAATGATTGTTAGTAGGTGAGAACTTGTAATAGATGAAGTTTTGATCATTCTTTAGTGGGTGCCATAATTCTAAATATTTTGGATTTGGGAAACTAAAAATTGATAATTAGATTTTTTAGGCAGTTTCACCAGTGTATGGTTTTAGTAGCAGAGTTAGTGTGTTTTGAGCTTCTATTTCATATTGTTTGCCAGACATTTTTCTTTATTGGATGTGGTGTTAATTTGTTGGATGTTTTACTTTGTGAAACATGTTATTTCTCAAGAGTATAGTAAAAGGGAAAATACATTTTGTGTTCTCAACTTTTAGAGTATGTCCACTTGCCCAGAGTGAGTAACAGTGCAAGACAATGAGGTGGTTAGGCTAAACATGCATTTCATTCGCTTTTTCTGGTCTGTACTTCCAAACAAGAAAGGCTGGGAAGAAGGCCATCAGGTAAATGTGTGTAGATGTGTGTATATTTTGGAAGTAAAAACATTCTAGGGCTGGTTTAAGGTATTCCAAAAACACATAAAGAAATGTGATTGATGTATTGGAATCCTGCTGTAGTGTCAAGGCTAAAAGACGAATACACTTTATTGGTACTTTAGGTTAATTTTGTAGACTAGAATATTGGCTTAGTACTAACATATTAAATTCCTAGTATAAGAAATAACTCAGTCCTCTATTCATCTATTGAGGAGGTAATACAGCTGTTGATGCTGCAAAGACATTGATTGATGTTACCAGCTTAATTTTCTAAAAGTATAGATTTAAAAAGGCTTATTCACTGGAAATTAACTTTTTCTTTTCTGGAGAAAAAATGTAAACAGATATGTAAAGTACTCATATGACATGTTACTGTAGGGCTGACAATTTGTTAACACAAAATCCTAATCATCTAGTTTTGCCAACGCTAGAAGTATATAGCTGAATCAGGCTTTTATTCATTTTTATTGTGTAAATTGAAAGTTATTTCATCCTATAGGTTTTATGGCATACTTTGCTGATACCCTGAGGATTGTGTAGAAAACCTATAGAATAGGCATTTGGTAAATTTCTGATAGTGTAACAGGGTACAGCTAGGTCCCCCCAAGGGGATTTGTAATGGGGTCCAGAAATTGGAGTGTCCAAGGACAATATAGGATATTCTTATCCCCCCCTCCCCGCCGTCCCCCCAAGGCAGGTAGCCATGAGGGATGGGAAATGAGGAGCAGGGCATTTGAGTTACTTTGCATGTCAGTAACTGCTGGACAGCTTCATTCTTCCTATGCAAAGATGATATTTTGGATATCAACAAAGCTAACCCTGAAAGTTTGCTGAAGTGTAACCCAGGATGTAACTGGGCAAGCAGCTGCCCGGATTGCAGGGCCTGCTGGAGGAGTCGGCGAAGGGGTTGCTGGGGAGGGTTCCCACCTGTGTTGGGACCTGGATGCAGCAGCCAGGCAGCCACGGCCCCCCACTGCCCCGCGGTTACAGCGTGTGTGCAGGAGAGCTTGGAGGTGGTATGCTCCACACCGTGAGGGAACAATGAGACGACCATGCGGGAAGGAAAGGAGAGAACGGACTCTTGCTAGTGGCCATGAGAAGGTACCTCCTGGTTCTGAATTAAGAGCTGGAGTTCACGGCAACGCAGCGCATGGTTCTGGGGACACGAGGCCTGCCTAGCTGAGCCCTGGACTTCTGTTTTTTCCTTCTGAAGGACGGTACCCCTGCCTGTCCTGATTGGCCTGACTAGGCAAAGTGGGGGAAGGCAGGACTGTGTGTGTGTCAGTGCGTGTTTTAAAGGGTGGGTGTTTCAAAGGGATTTTGAGATTTAAGAGTGACACTTAGCAATTCATCAAAACCTGTATAACTTTTGAATAAATACTTCCTTTCCTTTTCACCAAGCTCTGCCACTGAGAGCCATAATTTCCGGGGCGGCGGGCAAATGAACCTAGAACAGAGGGACCCCAGGGAAAAGAGAGGATATTGCTCTGCTAATAGTTTCTGGGGCTCCCCCCACAATGGGTCCATTGTTCCATAACACAGGGAATTCTGCTTCAGCCTTGCTTTTCTTGCTTTTGGCCCTTGTTATTTATATATATTTACTATGTACGTTTTAATTCCTTACCTCATGGCTAGAGGTGGTTATGAATTTCAAGAGAGGTACACATTTCAAGAGAGACAAGAATTTATTGGTTTACTCAGTACTTTCAGCAACAGAAGCAGTTCTGGCTGTGAGGGAGGAGGCTTCTCCCTTCTCCCTGGGGGAAGAAGAAGGTAAAAGCTTTTACTCTTGAAACAAACAATTAAACTCTACATCATTTCCTCATTTTAGACAGGAATTCTAAATTGTCCCCAATCACTTACATTAGGTCCATAGTTTCGCTCTCATCAGAGGAATCCTTGTCCTGAAGATTCTGGGACTCGATTATCTCAGGTACAGCTTTGGAAGCACCAAACAGACCCTTCAGCCTGCTCCAGAAGCCGCCAGCCTAGGACACAGACAGGGAAACATGAGTTCTGCCTGTCCCCTGCTTTGTCTCGCCACAGCACTTTGTCCTCCCCAAACTTACCTCCATCTGGCTGTCCCGTGACCTTTTTTTCAGGAGACTTGAGAAAAAGCCCCTTGGAAGAAAACACATACCGGCAATTAGCGATGTGTGCATTTTTCCACATTTCTTAACAACGTATAGCCTTGGCCTTATTGGGACCAAATGGGTACCTGCGTCCATACTCATGAGCAAAATCACTACAGACCCAGGAGCTTGACAATTATTCTTTGCATGCTGAGCTTCCGGAGGGTCTCTGTCTGTTTCAAGTAGCCCACAATGTCTCTGGGGAGCCCCCTGCAAGTGGCTTGGCATGGAGTACAGGCAGGATTTTCAGCCCCACGCCTCTTCTTGGCCCTTGGCCAAGTGCCTTGAAGTGCATTGAGAAAAAAAAAAATGCAAAACCACACTGGGCAGAGGCCGTTTTACAATCTGCAGAAGCATTTTACTTCGGCCCCCTTTCGACCTGGCCTCACATGCATTATTTGCTGGGGGCAAGGAAAGAAGGTGCTTTTATTTTTTAGCCGCTGTATCCCCTGAGGTAAATTGTACCAACTAAATGCCTGAGTCCAAATTGCTGTCCCTGCTGCTCACTGCCTTCCACACTGCAGGCTGTCACTGCCGAGCGAGGGAGTTGTGAAATGAGTTTAAATGTCGCAACCAGCACTAAAATAGCAAATACTCTTTTTGAATAGAAAGGGAATAGAAAAAATTGAGTGCATAACGATTTTGTTTTAGGAAGGACTTCTGTGTGTACCGCGTTGTGACATAAAATGCAGCTCACAGCCCAAGAGCAGTGTGGTCAATGGAGAAGCCCCACCTGGAGCGGCACCATCTTCTTTCTGACACTCACTACCAGTGTGACGATGGGGCCAGATACTTTCCCTTTCCTTTTCTCCGGTTCCTTACTATTAATGGAAAAGACAAACTGCTGCTTAAGGTCTCTCCCGATTAAAATTCTATGAGGTTTGGGTAAAGGGAACAGAGAGAGAAGGGGACTGAAAACCAGGACGATGAGAAGGGAAGTTTTCCTGCCACGTTACAGGAAGGACTCAGATCGTGAACCTTTCATTGGCCCTGAAGGAGACCAGCACCCTTACCCTAAGACCATGTGGCCTTCTCTGCCCTTCCCCAGAACCTCTGCCACCAACAGGAACAGGGACAACCAAGACTTCTCCCTCTGCATCCTGTTTTCTTAAAGGGCTAGGGACAGCACACACATCTGTGTCAGTCCCATTCTATCTCAGCTTTGGCCAGGGAGCTAATTTTGCAAACTCCAGGAAAAGCATCAGCATAAATAAGTATTTGTTCCAAATGTAATGGTTTCCTCACTGTAAAATGAGACGGAAAGAGATGAGTTCTAAATTCTCTAGTTCTTTTTTTAATTTTTCCTAGCATGTATTTTACGATCAATTTACTCCCAAGTTTTTTGTTTCTTTAGTTTCTCCTGGGAGATTTTTCTTTCCTGTGCAGCTCCCTCTTCTCGTTTAGGAATAATCTGTTCTTTTTCAATAACAGCTACTGAAAAAGAGCAGATTATTTGGCTCAGTGTGGCAGGTCTGAGAACTCATGTGTGGGCTAATCCACCCAAGAGCTCTGTAACTTCTGCACTGTATCTTGGGAGCTTTGTTCACCTGGATGGGCTCAGTGACCAGAGAGTTTGTCTCTAAAACCTTAAGTTCAGCGCTACTCTGCGTTTTTAAGCATGTGCGGCAAAAATTCAACACTCCCTTTGGGGCAGCAACCCTGCACCCAGCCCCGCTCTTTGGGCGGGGCACACCTGCCAGCTCCACCATTGTAAGGACAGAATGGCACACAGCGCTTCTGTAAAGTAACATTCCGCAGATGCTCGGTAGTTTTTCAGATGTGCGTACACCTGATGGCCTGGCAGTCTCGCAAGTGTTCTTACAGTGACCATGAAGATTTAAAACTCTTGATTTGCATGATTTTGTGGGGTGTTCTGGGTTAAGTGAGTAGTGAACCATTTTTAGAGGGCACTCAGACCACTTCCAGGAAGAGGAAACTCCTCTAGTTCTAAAATTCTACTGGGAAAACTCAGACCAATATTTACCTTGCATTTTCTTCATCGGCCTTCTTTTTACCACAGATCTGTTTTTGAAGACAACAACACCATGATTATTCATCACAATGACCACTATCTCTAAACCTTTATTTGTTCCCTTTTAAGTAACATGGTAACTTCTTGAGGACAGGAATTTTGTAGGATAGTCCTCTGACTCTTCTTCCATAGTCCATAACTTTGGAACTTACATGGAGTTGGCAATGTATTTCATTGGCTGTTTTACATAACATTCAGCAGATAATGCCTAATAACAGCGCGTAGAAGTAGAAAAAGAAAAGTATCTACCAGAAACTTACACAGCAGCTTTGTCTTAAGGTCAAGAACAAGAGGAGGATGCCTGTTAGTACTGTTACTATTCATCACTGTTGAGGAGGTCCTAATCAATTTAGTAAGAAAAATGAAATATTGGGAAGAGACAAGACATATTTATATATGAGATGATGCAAAACCTAAGAAGTCCAAGAGCATCGACTAAAATTTTATTGTCCAGTACTACAATTCAGTAAGATGGCTAAATCCCAAATCAAAAGATCAACATGCAAACCTCAAAAGCTTTCCTATGTAGCACAAAAGACTAATTAAAAAGATGAAGGATCCCACTTACAATGTCACTAAAGATGCATAAAGTACCTAGAAATAAACTTAACAAAAACTGTGTGAGACTTATGTGGTCAAAATATTAAAATTCTTCTGAAGGACATATGAAGATTACGTGATGTGAAGACACCATGTTGCTAGAATGTTGTGAAGATGTCAATTCTCTGCAAAGGAACCTACAAATGCAAGGCAATCCCATTCAAATTCCCAGGTAGTTTTTAAACAAAAACTGGCCAGCTGACATTTGGTAGAGAAAATATGCAGGAATAGCTATGAAATGTATGAAAAAGAAGATAAAAAAGCAGGAGCTTACCCTACCAGATATCAAAATATGTTATGAAGAAATTGGAATCCCATAGCGATACTGCTACTGGTACAGAAAAAGATAACTGGATCAACAGACTGGAGTCCAAAGAGTGTATTTTAGATCAGTAAGGAACGAATGAGCCATTTAATAAAAGATTTCAAAACAATTAAATCTTCATGTAGGGGAAAAACGGTCAACCACACTAAAAAACAAACAAAAGTACTGGACAGGTTTTTTTTTAATTAGAAAGAACAAGAACTATTATAAAAATGACTAAAAGACAGTATCGGGGCCTACTTTCATGCCATGAGGTATGAAACCTACAACTAACAAAACCTACATCCCATACCCCATGAGGGAGCTGGCAGACATGGTGGCAGGCTATCGACACCCCCTGCTCCTCACAGCCCTTGCCCTCTTCTCCCCTCGACTGTTTTCTTCCTGTTGATTTATGGAACTCTTGATTTTAAATATCTGAACTCTTTCAGTGGCTTTCATTGAATTTCAACGATTCAAATATTCCTCAGTGTTTTTTGTCTTTAAGGAAACAGAACAGTGGAGTAAAGCACAGGCATCGCAGTCAGGCAGAGCTGGGTTCTACTTTTGGTTTTGCCACTGGGGCCTTCAGTTCATTGTCTTCATCTATGGAAGAGGGTGGTAATATTGTCTGCACAGGATTGTGGGGATTGAGTCAGACAATATATAGAAAACTCTGCATCTTATGCTTAGCATAAACCGGTGCTAAGTTTGCTAATGGTGTCACAGACAACATGGTCAAATCTATCAAAGGTTTTGCCTGTGATGTCAGCCTCAGAAAGCTTTGGATCTACCACCAGATTATAAAAATATTGCTTCTATTTCCTTCTAGTACTTTTACTGGTTCTTCCTATTTTATGTTTAGTTTTTACATTTATGTAAATACACTAAAGGTGAGAAATATATCGGCTGTTATTTGGCCCTGAAATAGTCAGGTAGTTGTCCTGTAAAATTTGTCCATTTCCTTCCACTGATTTGAATATTAAAAGGTGACGCCCTGGCTGGTGTGGCTCAGTGGACTGAGTCCCGGCCTGCAAACCGAAAGGTCGCTGGTTCGATTCCCGGTAAGGGCACATGCCTGGAATTGTGGGCCAGGTCCCCCGTTGGGGGCATGTGAGGGCAACTGATTGATGTATCTCTCTCACATGATGTCTCTCTCCCTCCCTTTCCATCTCTCTAAAAGTAAACAAATAAAATCTTTAAAAAAAAAAGGTGACATTTCAAAAGTCCTAGGAACACACGGTTCTGTCTATTGCTGGACGCTGTCGTCTACTTCAAACAAATATTAGGTTGCATTACTCCTCATTATGGAATTGACAAAATACTTCATCCTTCTTCTTTTGAACACCATTACTGTCCACTACAAAACAACATGGCATGGTCCACATCCTCAAAAAGCTTATCATCTAACTGAGGAAAAGAAATAATGAAACCTCAGAAATAAAAACAAATGCGAGATTAAACTGTATAGAAATTAAACACACTATAGGAGTTTATACAAATTCTAAAAAAGCAAAAGGCTACATACCACCTGGAGATATAGAGGGTACTGTCTGGACAATGGCCAATGACTTCTCCCCAGAGGCCTTGGCAAGCTGGCCTCACGCTATCCCCTAGCCTCCTAGGCTCAGAAGTCAGACTCTTCACCAAGAGAGGACTCACTTCTTCCTATCGGGGTAGTCTCACCTTATCTATACCACAGGGCTAATAAGAAATCAGAATGCCAGGCTATGGCCTGACAACAAGAATTCCATCTGTTCCGCAGACACCATCTGTGTCTACACGATCAAGGAAATACATTCGGTAGAGCTAGGCCACGTGGCACACTAAAGCACAATCAGAAGGTCACTTGGTGAGAACAGAATCAGAACAAAAGGAATCAGCAGGATCCCGTGTTTCATAGAAAAGACCGAGTTAGCAGTATCCAGCCATCTGCCCCACAGGCATGGCCTGGCTAGTCGTCCTGACTCTCCACATGTGCTGCCAGAGGTGCCACTCTTAGGCACTACAAGGATGGGTAATACCCATGGCGGTTTCTTCCTCTGCCTCACCTTTTATCTGCTTTTACTACTGACCAACCCTCCTGCAGACAGACATGTTTCCTTTAGCAGTTAACACATCCAGTCAGGTTTTACTTAAGTCTGGTAGACCAGGAAGCCATTTCATCCATACACATCTCTGCTCTGCCCCATGACGTGTTGACCTCGGAATTTCTCTCTTGGGGAGCCGCCTTTTCAGAATCGGTTCACCATAGGTTTAAGTTCTCAGGGCAGGGAAATGTCTCCCTACTGCCCATCCCCCAAAATGATTACAAATCTCATAGAAGGAATAGGACTAGCAGGGCTGAAATACTCAGGGAAGGCTTTATGAAGAAATAGGAACTTGAACTGGCTTTTGAGGGATTCATAGGACTTCCACAGGCAGAGCAAAATAAGGGAATTTTAGATGGGCAAAGGCACAAACAAAAGCGGTGATGGCGCATGCTCTGGCCAGGTAATGGAGAGGGGCTGCTTTGGCTGGAGCAGGGGGCTGCCATGCCTGGTGAAAGGGTAAACAAGGTATTCGGTGGGATTACTGGGGTAGAGTCAAGATCCTCGGCTTTTGGAATCACTCGTTTAATGTTAGCTCCTGCCTGCTGGGAAAATAAAGCATTGTGCGATTGAACAAAAAGGAAACAGGCACATTCCAGAAACGGGTGACGGAAAGCAAGACATGCCTTGGAGAAGCCTGATGCAGGATTTAGGGGACAGTGTTCTAAGGGAACACTATGTATGCCATGTTTTACACACCGGAGAGGAAAGCTGCTAAGGAAATCTAATGAGTTGACAGGATCACACCTTTATCTTTCAGTCCTGCCCTTTCTGCCACAGTGACACAGCTTCATGAGGGTGGAGAGTCTATATCTCTCCTCATTTTAGCCAATAAGGAAAGAAATCAGTGGTAGAAGGAGAGTAATTAGTAATACATCAAATTGACACCGTTCATTTGGAGTTGAAGAAATTTTGCTATCATGTCAGCTCTGGCCGATTAAACTCATGTTCTCAAAATAGTGCAGTGGTTTGTTATCTTGATTTCAATTCCACAGAGATCTCTGGGAGTGGGCTTCCTTTAAAAATCTTCAGAGTATCATTTGTAATAAAAGAACAAAGGATATCTCAGTGTTTGTGACTAAAGAAAAATATCAAGGAAAAGTAGGTGGGAAAGGGACTTTCATTTTCAGTTTGTGGGTTCTCAATCTAAAGACAGGATATATTTTGGAAAACTGAATTAACTGTTGTCGTACCGAAATGAGACAGTGAAGTATAATAAAAACCGTTGCTACGACAATCACAGGTGTTGCCACAAGCAGTTTGTTGTGATGCACATATCCTGTCACCGGCATTTCGTTGGCTCGCTAAAAAAAAGAAAAAAGAATTTTATAAACACACCAAAGAGGTGGAAAAAATTAAAAATGACTATCCTTGAGCCTATTCTAAAGAATAGCTAACTCTTCTTAACTGCTCCTCTAAAACCCCAGTCCTTCAGGTGAATGGCTTATGAACGGGGGACCCAAAAAAACCTGGAATTTATTTATAATGAATTGCATATTTACTCGTACATGTTTCAACTTCAGTCACCTTCAAAGTATTCTCCATTTGATGAAATGCACCTACTGAGACTCTTTTCCACTGCTCAAAACGATGTTTAAACTTGTCGATTTTGATGCCTTTTAGTGCTTCTGCCTTTTTTTGTTTCACCTCTTGCACATTGGCAAAAAGAATCCCTTTGAGGAATTTTTTCATCCAGAGAAACACAAAAAGTCACCTGGGGTGAGGCTGGGTGAATAGGCAGGGTGGGGCATGGGGGCCACGCCATTTTCTGTCAAAAACTGCTGAACGCTCATGGTGTCGGCAGGTGTGCTTGCAAATCGCCCATCACGAAATGGGCAAATGCATTGAGCCTTCAAAAAAAATTCACTGAAGCCGAATGTAGCTTCTCACAACTACGCCAGCTGGTACACTGATAGAGATGGGTTCCTAGAACACTCACCGAGCAGGGGAAACCTGTACTACAAGGGGCCCGCCCTCCAGATGGCAATTGTGGGTCTTTCTGGGTTCTCTCTCATATAGGTTCTTAAAGAACATACCATATCTACAGTGTTATGTAATCTTAGCGTTAACATTTTCTTGTACAACTTATTTATCATGTGTGTTAGGTCCTCGTCGTGTCTACCCTAGAACAGTGGCACCAGTTAAAGTGGAAGATCACTATCTTGGCCAAAGTCACATGGCTATGCCACGAGACAGTGTAGGTGCCTCTGGTCTCCCTGCCTCAGTGCTTTCATGGCGCGTCCTAGCTGACTAACTGCCAGTGCCTTGTGTTTCAGGAGCTGCCCTCACCTGAAGTAGCTCCTGCTCTTCCTCTTCCTCTTCCTCGTGGGCTTCCGTTTCCTCATTTTTGTATTGATTGGCATCCCACTCGGTCTTGGAAACCTTTGCTTCTTCTTGTTCACTCAAAACTTTCATTAGGAGATCTATTTAAAAAAAAGATAGAGTTTCCTCAAGATACTTTTGGAACTTGAATTGCAAAATTCAGGCTTAAGAGGGTTCCTTCTGTTGTCTTTCAAATGACCCAGGGGCATACCTCCCTCTTGTACATTTGAAAAAGGGAATTTAATGAGAGGTAATAAATGAGAGATTGATTCTATATCGTCTAGATTTATATCTGAGAAATAAGGAAATCTGTAATTCAGTGCACTGATAACAGCACTTTTATCGTTAAAGTCCAGCAGCTCACTCAGTAAAGCTGACAACTTCTCGTCGTTTTTGTCAGAGGGTGCCCTCTCCGGCTCAATCGTCAGCTGCACGCTAGTGCTCTCCCGGCCTTGAATTACATTTAGGAAAGAGTCTTCTGCACTGTTTAAGTAGAGTTCTTCATCTGTCAAAAAAGAAGAGGCCACTTTTGATCATGAAGGACTCAAGGGACCGCTTTTTGTCACTCCACAGCCATACATCCCGGTCAAATAAATTGGGAATCAGCAAACATTGGAGCGTTGTTGAGGGAGGAGAAAAATAAACCCCAACACAAACCTATGATTGGCAACACAAGAAAAGGAGAAAAGGTACCTTTTGAAAAAGGGTTATTTACTCAGAACATTCCGTAGTGGGACATACAGCAACTATATTTAGGATTATTCCATTGGTCCGCAATGGCCAGTTAGTAGGTACTGGAGAAAAAGCAAGGGTGGAAGACCCCACTCAGTTAGGTTCTCTGCAGACCTACTGTGACTCCTCACATTCATGGACCCCATGATGTCCTGCTCAGAGGCAGAGGGATCATAAGGCTTCCTCTCTCCACCCCTTCGCGTGCTCATGTTCTTGCTACCATCACAGATGACCGTGATTAACACCCACTGCTAACGGGTCCTCACCTGGACATGCCCCTAGCCACTTACCCACCAATGCATTAGCTTGGTCCCTGCTTCCACATATCCCAGCCCCCATAACAGAAGGCTCTACATAGATAAAAACCACTCTGTCCACTCTTGCTCTTGGCTTAGCTTTAGGCAGGCATCTGGGATGTATGTTAAGAGATTGGGCAGGTTGTGTGCCAGTGTGGGATGTTCACCATATCTATGGACTACTACGTGGGGTCCTAAAATACAGAAGGGAAAAGGCAAGTTTCGCGAGATGCCTACTCTGCTTTCCTTTCATTTTCATACATTTTCTGCTTTACTTGGGGAACCGTCTGAAGCTTCTGACTGTGTGAAGTTCAAGTGTACCATCGTGTGACTGGGTTTCCATTCCAGAAGAATTAAAAGTATTGCTGGTGAAGGTGAGGGTCAGAGAAGGAGCTGAAGGTCCCGAAACGGGGGAGCGTGGGCGTGCACAGCCCAAAACTGAAAGCCGGAGACCTGGGCACTAGGTAACGGCACTTAACACTCTCTACTCTTGTTTTTACTCACCTGCAAAAGGAGATTAAAATACCTGTTCTGCCCACCTTTGGGGTAGAAGGGAGCAATATAGATGGCCAAAAAAAAACATTGTTTGGAAAAATAAGCAACACTCTCTTTATATAAGTAGCACAGCATTTTTATCTATGATGTTCCCCAGGTCACTGCCAGAGTCCCATATTCAGGCTACCCGGGCCTGAAAGCACATTTTGGAAGTTAAAAATGGGTGCCAATAAACATAATTTGTAGAACAATACTTAAAAGCACCAAAGTGTTTGGTGGCTAGAAAACCTTGAGCTTCAGAGCAAGGTCAGAGTTGGGCAGTCTAAGAAGACAAGAGTCCTCCCTCCCATTAGTAGTTTGGTAGTAGCCTCTGGTGATAAAACCAGAAACTCTCAGTTTCCAAATAAAACTTTCATAAAACAGCATCACTTGTACTCTTTTTATAAAATTGCAAAAACAACTAAAAATGTATCTTTACCCATCCGGGGAGGCAAAGGGCAAATGGGACCTAATGCACCCAAAACCAGTTTACAAACTGTGACACTAATGAACAAGTTCTCATTTGAAAGTAAAGCACCAGGATGAGAGCACAACATGCACTATGTGTCCGTTCATGTTACTTCCCTTCCCCCTTCCTTCCCTTTCTCTTGTTCCTTAATCTGACTTTTACCAAGAAAGTGGTTCTTAGACATTTGGGGAGTTTAACTCTGAATGCAGGACTGAAAATAACGCAGTTACCTTATTTGCTTAAAAATTTATTATCATCAGCCCCGGCTGGTGTGGCTCAGTGGACTGAGTGCTGGCCTGCCAACCAGCAGGTCACTCGTTCGATTCCCAGTCTAGGGCACACGGTTGGGTTGCGGGCCAGGTCCCCAATAGGGGAAAAGTGAGAGGCAACCACACATTGATGGTTCTCTCCCTCTCTTTCTCCCCCCTCCCCCCCTCTAAAAGTAAATAAATAAAATCTTTAAAAACATTTTTAGCATCAATTAAAAATTAAAACAAATACAAATGAAAGAATTTACCTTTCAGCAATTCAGACTTACCACAACGTGTGTTTTTCAGACATTGAGCAGCACAATGCAATTTGACTGTCAGGCTCACAGCCTCGATATTACTTTTGAACTGGCAGAGGCAGCAGGCCAAATCGTGAGGTAGGGTCCTATAAATGGGAATGCAGAGAATTAAATTATTGGCAAAAAACTTATTGGAGCGGGTAGAAGACGTAGGCAGAGGCTGCCACAGGGCTATGCACCAAAGAGTTGTTGGAGTTCACCCCCTCAACAGTTTGGTGGGCATCAGTTGCCATTTGTTACTTGTTTTTTAATCCTCGCCAGAGAACATGCTTATTGATTTGAGAGAGAAGGGAAGGGAGAGGGACAGAGAGAGGGAGAGAAACATCAATGGGAGAGAGAAACACCAATTGGGGACCTCACCTAAACCCTAGGTATGTGTCCTGACGGGCTGGAAATGAAACCCGCCACCTTTCGGTTTATGGGAATATGCTCCAACCAACTGAGCTGTACCAGCCAGGGCAGCCATTTGTTACTCTTGACTATTGTAGATAAATAGAGAGGAGAACAGAAGTGCCCAACAGAAGATTAAGACTGGCAGTGGGTGGGTAGGGTATGCCTACGCTAAAGGTGGGAGGGATTAGACTTGAGAGACGCTGATCTGTCGTTTAATTCAGAAACATCTCCTTTTCTAAACCCAAAAGTCTCACTTTGGGTTGAGAGTACAGAAGAAGAGGGAAGACTTCTAAGAAGACTCTGGAGAAGTCCCTCCCTTATAAATCCCTAATTGTCAGTAATTCCTGATTGTGAGTGGTAACTGTATTAGAAATTACTGTGGGCATAAAAACATGGTGTGGTTAAATAATAGGAAACTGCATTGGACAAACCTGGGCAATCTGAACACTCAAAAGAGTGACGATAATGAGCTATAACATAATTAATTTAAAGAAGAACCCATGAGTTCATAATGACACTCAAAAAGAAAAGAGGTAAACTGTTATCTATAGAATAATGCCAGCTAATAAATGTAGAAGGAATACTAAGATTAGAAAAAGAGTGTCACTTTGTAACCACCAATGTAATAATCTATCGGACACGGATTATCATTGATGCACAGTTGGGTAAAAAGTTGAGAGTAGAATGTTCACTGATCCCAAGGTATCATTCTACACATTATTTATTAACTACCAAGGGAAAAATAACTTTACAATGGAGAGATCTGGAAAATAGCATGTTTACTAAATGATCAAACTTAGCATTATGGGCTGCTTGAAGTGGTGAGCTAGGAAGGAGACGTCACTATTGTAGTATTCTTTCCAAAATAGTTTACCTTGAATCTAATCCTGAGGAAACAGACAAATCCAGACTGCGGGACAATTTATAAGACAACCATCTTAGACACACCAAAAATGCCCGTGTCATAAAAGAAGAAGAAGAAGAACAACAACAACAACAACAACAACTATATAGATAGATAGATAGATAAATGTTTTAGATTAAAGGAAACAAAGAAAAGAGATGTGATGCTTGATCTTTGATTGGATCCTGGATCAAAACAAAACAGATTTAAAGAATATTATTGGGGGCAAACAAAGAATATAACTGGTTTTGACCACGATGGAGGAACTGGGACCAATTTAACCTCCTGCCTAAAACAATTTTAAAAAACAGGCAAAATATATGTAACAACAGTTTTCAAGACATTGGATTTAGACAGGCACTTCATTGAAAAAGATATTTTCACATAGATACTCTACATCATCAGCTCTTAAAGAAATGCAAATTAAAACCACAATGCAATACAACTACATTTCTACTAGAAGGGCTAATTTTAAAGAGAAACAAAAATATAAAGATTAGGTCAAAATGTGGAGCAGTTGCAACTTTCATCTACTGCAGGTGGGAAAGCAAGATAGTACAACCACTTTAGAGCACAGTGTAGCCGTTTCTTAGAAAGTTAAACATGCTCTCTGCATATGAGGCGGCAATCCCACCCTTAGGGGTTTCACCCCAAAGCCATGAAAACGTATGTTCACACAAAGACCTGCAAGTGAATGCTTTTAGCAGCTTTATTTAGAGCCAAAAAAGTGGAAGCAATTTAAATACCCATTAACTGATGACTGCATTAAACAAATCAGTATCTTCACACAACTGGAAAACTACACAGCAATAAAAAGGAACTAACTACTCATAGATGCAATAACATGAATGAATCTCAAAAGGATTATGCTAAGTGAAAGAAGCCACCACCAAAGGCTACACTCTACATGATTTCATTTTTAAGACCCTCTGGAAAAAGCAAGAAGACTACAGCGACAAAAATCAGATTGGTACCTGCCAGGGGCTAATGGCAGAAGGAGGAATTGACCACAAAAAAATACGAGGAGCATTTTGGGGATGACAAAACTATTCTGTCTCAAATGTCACGGTGGTACATAACTACAAATTTATTAAAACTCATTAAAGTGTATTCTTTAAAAGAGGAGATTTAATTAAATAAAATTATACCTCAATAAACCTGACTTAAGAAAATAATAAAACAAACCTAAAACAACTAGGCGAAAGTAAACTTAAGAAAAATCAACGTACAGTTTTTTCATTTCAGTGGTCATCGTGAGGATGTTCTCAACCGTTGCAAGTGACACTTGTGTTCCTCCCAAGTCCCTGAAGGAGAAGGTCCAAACATGCATGAAATGAACCCAAAGACAAAAATTCTATGGTTTAAAAGACGCTGAAAGACGTCTGGTTACCTCAGTTCTGGCTTCTCCATTAAGCCAACTCAAAAGCTGACTTGCCATAGGGGATAATTTCAGAGAGCTCTTCTTGAAGAAATGTAAGTTTATTTGCATAGTCAAATTAATGATGTTGGTGAACAGTACAACCTGGTTTGTCTTTTTTACCACTATTCTCCTTGTCATTCTCACTTGCACCCACCACTTTATTACTCTTTAAAAATACATAATGTACAGCTTACTCCTTTTTTCTTTTTGAGATGAATGGTGTTTCTACATGCTTCACATACCCCGTGTCTGTATGCTCTTCGACATCGCTCCCTTTCCTGCGGGCTCTCTTGTCTGTCTGCATTCTCTCTTAATCATTTTGCTATGCCAATAACTTTTATGCAGTAAACCAGTTATAATTTAAATTATGACCTTTTAGTCAAAATGCAAAGTACTTAATCTTTGACAAAAGTAAGAAAGGTCAGAAATTATCTCATTATCCAAGAAGATTGTGGGAATACTTACAAATGTTTTAACTCCGGCAACTTAAAAAGATATGTGTCTTCAATGGTTGTCAGAGGATTATGATGGAGAATTCTGAAAAAATGCAATGGAATTAAAATTATCTGCATTTTCAGTAATTGCCATGAAAGCATGTGTATTCATTCTGTTGGTACGAAACTAGAAGGTTAAAAAAATGATTTTCTGTCTTATAGATACCCTTAGAATCTGTAAAGCACTCTCTTTTGGGGAACTAGTCCGGTCTCTAAATGATAAAATGGGGAAGAGAAGTAAAGAAGAAGAAGAAAAGTGGACAGCAAAGAAAAAAAGTTGCCAAAGAACTTGTCAGACTGAAACCCCTGGAAGTGACTATACTGATAAGAAGCTCTTGCTCTATAGAAACTACTTATTGTAGTATCCTCCATAATTCAAGTTGCTCTTCTTTCATCTACAGGTTAAGTCGCAGTTTAAACTACCTAGGTAAAAATAAAAATAAGACTAATTCCTTGGTTTGAGAGCCAAAGAAGGGATAAATCTAAGAGGAACCGGTGAAAACCATACTTCCATCCCATACTCCCATGTGTATTCTTGTGTCACGGGCTTCCTGACATTGCATGTAATCACCTTATCAATTGTATACTTACGAATTTCTCGGACTGTCAGTGCCAGAAATTTTCTAGGTATTTAATAAATGTTTCTTAAATAAACAAAGAACATTTTAATAATATATCGATAAAATGAACAAATTTGTTTTCTGACAATAATTTTTATTCCAAATGCAGAAATAAATTTTATTCTCAACTCTTTAAAACAAGCAAAGCAAAACAAAACAAAACAAGAGAGAAAAGACAATCTCTCTTTAGGTTATTCGTGTAATAAGCTAAGAATCATTAGTGTCATTTTCACAATAATCTTACTGACAGTTATGATTATTACCCCATTTTACAGATGAGGAAACTGAGGCACAGAGAGGTTATATAACTTGCCCTAGGTCATCAAGTTAGTAAGAGCAGGAATCTGAACACAGTTCTAACTCCAAAGCCTGTGTTTACCCTCTATGAAGAAAAGGGGTTTAAAATAACTCGTACTTTAACCTTACTTTTCAGACCACTGAATATAGAAATACATTTTCAAACTTCATGTACCCATCTGGGAGAGCCTCAATGACAATTAAATTTTCTTTTTTTATTCCTGTTCCCTAATCAACTCCCATGATTAAATATTTAACTAGCTTACAGTCATGGAGACTGTAAAGATTTAAAACCATATTGTAGGCAAATTAGTAAAAACGGCGAAGTAAGGACACAAGAAAATTCATTCTAAAAGAGCAACAAAAAATGCAACTGGAGAAAACAGACTCAGCTTTCTCAAACTCTGGAAATTCAACCAACCAGCTTGCAAGAATCCAGGGAACATTTCTTCAAGAAAAAGGTTTCATATTTCTAAGAACGGGGATCTGTGTTGCTTTAACTTATCCTACACCTTTGCTCTCCATCCCAGTGGTTATCTTGAAAAATAGTCCACATGCCCTGTACCACAGGGAGCAGAATGGAGCCAAATCTCATTCCCTAAGAATTGTCTGGTGGCTCCCTGAAGACTCACTTGAAAGGTTTGTCTTTGACGTGACTGAGAGCAGGGTAGCACCAAAAGCCTCTCTCCTCGGGGGCAATTTTGTGAAAACAATTGCAGGTAAATGTTTTAACATGATAGCTGTTGAGGCAAGGGATAATAGTTGCCACTAAAAGTAGCCTAACAGAAAAGCTTAAAAGTAAATGGTGAGAAATGAGATGTCTATGGAGACTCGGAAGTGCTTCAACATATGCTCAGGAATTGGAAGACCATGAGACACGTTCCTGAGAATCTAGGAAAGAACTATTAGCACTAATATATGAGTTCAGCAAGGTTGCAGGATGCAAGCCCAATATACAAAAATTAGCTGTATTTCTGTACGCTAGCAATGAGTAACCCAAAAATGAAATTGAGAAATAATTCCATCTATAACGGTATCAAAAAGAATGGAATGCTTAGCAAAAAACTTAACCAAAGAAGTGCATGACTCATATACTAAAAGCTACAACACATTGTTAAAGAAATTAAAGAAGATGTAAACAAATGGAAAAGCCTGCTGCGTCCAGGGATCTGAAGCTGATACTGTTAAAATGGCCCTCTGCTCCAAATCTATCTATGGTTTCAATGCAATCCCTACCAACATTTCAACGGACTCCTTTCGAGAAATTGGCAAGCTAACTGTAAAATCATATGGCAATTCAAGGGACCAAGAACAGCCAAAACAATCTCGGAAGGAACAACACGGGAGGACACGCCCACCCTGGTTTCAAAGCCTGGTTCAAAGCCACAGCAGTCAGTGTGGTACTGGCGTAAGGTTAGACATATAAATCAATGGAACCGACTTGATAGTCCAGAGGTGAACCCTCACATGTGCTGTCTATTGATTTTCCACAAGGGTGTCAAAGCAATTCAATGTGGAAAGAACGGCCATTTCAAATGGTGCTGGGATGACTGTATATCTACATGCAAAATAATGAAGTTGACCTCCGCCTACACTTCATACCATATATACAAGTCAACTAAAAATGAATCAAATACCTTAAATAGAAGAGCTAAAGCTGTAACGCCCTAAGGAGAAAACAAGGGGTAAACCTCTATGACCTTGTATTAGGCCAACAATTTCTTAGACAGGATACTAAAACCCAACCCAAGGAAAAATAGATCAATTAGACTTTATAAAAATGAAACACTTTTGTGCGTCAAAGGACACTACCAAGAAAGTGAAAAGACAACTCAGAGACTGGGAGAAAATATTTGCAAATTATATATTTGATAAAGGCTCCCATTCAGAATATATAAGGATCTCTTACAACTCAATAAAGAGATAACCAAATTTTAAAAGGGACAAAAGATCTGTCAACAGAGGAAGCTATTGCTTCAGGAACTGCAGGTACGGCCAGGCCCGCCCCGACTGCAGGAGGCCACAAGCGATTGACCTTTGTGCTCCAAGGTGGTATCCTGGCTATTGTGTTCCCGGGAGAGACAATCCACCACCCAGGAGAGAGATAAAGAAATCACCCAGGACACGGGACATAGATAAAGAAAATCACTGTTCAGCGGATGAAAGGTTGTTATGGAAATTGACAGACTGCAGTTTTTATCTGATTAACCTCTTTCCGGAATTCCAAATTCCTCACCTACACTTCTTTCCCTTCAACTGCGGGCCCTTTACCTACACTTTTGCCCCATTATAAAAAAGGCTGGGTTGAAAGGACCTGTAAGACGGCCTGTTAGGCTACAAACCCTCTGTCTTCTCAGATCGCTGGTCATCTGAGTAAAGCACTCATAAGGATTCAATCCCCATTTCTGCCTATTGGGTCTAGTAGGTGACAGGCAGCGTGAGAGCCGGATTTTCTGGTTTCAAAACTAGATACACTCTTTACCACATTGCTAATTTCTTCACCCGGTGTTCATCAATAACACAGAGATTTCATTCAAGGAACTTACTGAGTTGTCATTACCTGAACCCCAGAGGTGAATCAAGGTTCTGTGGAGACTGAGCATCTTCTGTTTTGGGAAATCCTAATACAAACATGCCAAGCTTTAAATATGAAAATTGCTAGTGCCCCTCTCAAGACTTTAGAAAGGGTCTATGCAAAGGAAGCGCCATGAAGCTTAAGCTGTATTCAATTCATGATAAACCCACCTCAAACTTCTTACAGGCTCTTTGTAATGCAGAGAAAATTATTGTTTCAACTTACAGAAACACCAGTGATATGTCACATAGATGACAAGATGACTTAACTTGATGAGTGGCACCTTCCCTTGGCAAGTTGCCTTTGGAAAAAGATGCAATTTAGTTTGCATCTCACTATGGCAAATGTTTCCTGAAGCAACTTGGCTTTGTCCGTAACAAAGATTTGGCCCCGAAAAGGAGGAGTTCATCCCCCAGCACACACTCATGGTATTGTGACAATCTTTTGAAAATAAATGTGAGTTAGTTTTAACACTAAAGCTCCAGGGAAATCATATGAGTATCTTTACTTCTAACACCAGCCAGCTCTGATTCTTTCATGACCTTTTTCTGTCATTTAAAATGAACCCAGAAACTCAAGAAAAACAAGTTGGTGTCTGCTTTATTACAAATCTTTTCTAACTCACCATGCATTTCCCACTTTGTCTCCCTCCTATCTCGTTACCCTGCTGTAGAGATGCTGGCATGGGTCTCATGCTTTCCCATCAGCATCCTTCTTCCTCTTTCCAGTACAAAAGTTTCTTGCGGATAAAGCCCCTGTCCAATTCTTCTATGTAGCCCCAGCACGTAGTGGAGTGCTGATGATACACAGTGGGCATGGCACCCGGTCAGCCTTTTCTTTCCCGTGCTGCCTTCCTGACTATAACGAAACTCAGATTCTTATAAGACACTCTGTATTACACAATGCTTATTAAATGTAGGGAGATTAAGATATTGTACTGATATCGTAACCAAAACCTCTGGGTGGAGGGACCCAGTGAGTCTGCTCTCTCATGCGCTGGCCAAGGAAAACTGACCCTCAGTGTTCCTTCCCGAAGGGAGGCATCGGCAAATTAAACAGGGAAAAGGAAGGCTGCTACAGATGGGCATCTGCAGGAACTGTCAGTCCAGCTCCAGACACACCCTACACCCCTGCGTCTAAGCTGAAAGGAATTGTGGGAAGTTGGATTTCTGAATTATAGGACAATAAGACAGTCGTTTCAAAGGCAGGTGTGAAGGATCATCTTCACCATGAGTCAAAATTCCTTTTCAGGCTATTGCACATACGTACTATGATGTGCTCATGTCACAAGGAAATCACAGAATTTTTGAGCTGCAAAGGAAGAAAACCCACATTTCTCACTGAGCAGTAGTCAGGAAAGAAATTGGAATTAGGCTACAGCAATGTATTTTCTTTATGGCTATTTTTTCACACCACACAGCTTGGCTGGACAAAAACAGCGTCTTTTTCCCATACCTCAAAGGTTCCCATTGCCGTGGACAATTCACTACATATTTTCTTTAAAAAAAAAAAAGAAAGAAAGAAATCTAGCCTGGATTATTGAGGAGAGAAGTGCCCTGCGGCAGGTTTTGAGGAATTTTTTCTGCTTTACCATTTAAAGGAGACTCATGGCTGAAGAGAACTCTGAGCTAAGCTTAATTCCTTCAGTTCTATGTTCCATACATTTAGGCAGCTAGAATCTTTGCATATGAGCAGGAATCAAAGTTAAATTCAGAAGTGGAATTTCCAGGACCATTCACACGTCGGAGCTGCAGCACCACTGAGACAGCCGTGATAATGCTGCTGTGAATGGTATTTGCTTGGTGCCTTTTATTGCCCGTGCCAACGTGCAGTGCTGGGGAACGTGGAGCCTGCCATACATGAGCCAAGCAAGTCTGTTGGCCTCTTTGTACCATAGTTTGTTTCCTCATTTGAAAAAAATGAAGGGCCCTGAAGCCACACTTTTCAGCGTTCACACTGGGCTTACATCCAGCCAACGAATCACTGTATGATGTTTTTACACATAGCTTTTAAGTGTATTTCTCTTCTATTTCACTTACATTGTGTGTAGAAACTGCATTCCATGCCAGGCCCGAAACGTTCCAATGTTCAGTTCTGTGAGTAAATTGCCACCGAGATTTCTTCAAAAGAAGAAACAAACAGAAGACAAAAGAAAATTCTTTCAGATCATTTATCCTTTGGCAATGATCTTAATTTTTATATGATAAAACCGCCTCAACAGTCCCTCTATACACTGAGTAAATCTCACCGTGGAAGACATCTGCTTATGACTTATGCTTTCATGTTTACACATGCAGGGCATTCGATACAAAACACGAAGTGCTCAGACAACACTTGGACTAAGTGGTCCTTATTCCTCTAGATCAGGGTTACACAAACACTACTGACATTTTGGGCTAGATAATTCTTTGTTGTGGGGGGCTGTCCTATGCATTGTAGGATGTTGGACAATTCTGGCCTCTGCCCACTACATGCCAGTAGCATATCTACAGTTCTGACAACTAAAAATGTCCTTGGGTATTGCCAAGTGTCCCCTGGGTGCAAAATCACCCTGGCTGAGAACCACTGCTACAGAACGCCTCATTCTGATCCGTGAGATGATTCTCACGCTAGTTTGTGCTACAGACAAGAAGGATTTGCTCCATAACTTTAGTAGCTTTCTATTAATGAAATTTTAGTCTTACTTGAAAAGAAATAACAAAGAGGTTTGCAATGAAGTTTTATAAAAATTCTAGGCATAATGAAGTTATCGTTATAACTTACAGATATTCCAAAAAAGGCAGTGTTTCAAATGTATTCTCCTCAATATACTTTATGTTGTTGTCAGATAAATCTCTAGAAAAACGTAAAAGAAAAATATTGCCTCAATTAGCTATTACATACCTAAATAGTAGAAATGACTGGTAGAGGTTAGAAGGATAATATTGAATATGTAGCTTTAGTTTTCAACTCTAAACTTTAGGAATTGGTTAGGTTAGGAACCCCTAACCCTGCCCCCACATCCGTAAAGAGTCTCACCTTCGTGATCTTTATAAATAAAATACCGTACTTTGCTGTGTATAATGAGCAGTTTTTTGCCCAAGTTTTTGAGGGAAAAATAAGAATGCTCATTACACATGGGTAGTGCTAATTCCATATCTATATCCATGTTTTTAATTCTTAAAATTCTTAAGTTATCAGAAAATTCTGGGTTAATGGCATTCAAATTACATAAGTGTTCGCTATTTTCTTGTCCTGTAGGAGACAATTTGAGATTAACCTCGGTTCCTCCCATTTTACTAAATCAACATTTTAAAACCTTTTCTGTAAAGACCAGACAGTAAATATTTTAGGCTTTGCAGGCCACAGACAGTCTGCCTCGCATATTCTTCTTTGTTTCTTTCTTTTCTTCTCCCATTTACGGCCCTTCGACGTGTAAAAAGTATTCTTAACTTACAGGCTGTATGAAAACAGACCATAGGCCTGATTTGATCCATGAGCCTGAAACTAGATGTAAGTACAAGCAGATGGTATATGAGCACCTATGGAATAAGGTTCATATGGGTGTGTATCATTACTCAAACCTCATTATCACTTTTTCTCTATAACTGAAGACTTTTTCTTATCTATATCTTGCCTATACGATGAAAAAATTGAAAGTGCATAGGAGATATTAAATGCTCAAGATGGGCTGGAGCCCGATGCTAACTTACATAGTTGTAGCAGAGAAATTGTAAAGATTATCTCATTTGAACCCCTTATTCATATTATAGATAATCTAACTAAAAACTCATAAACAAATACAATTAACTTACAAATATTTGAGGAATAGCAGGCCTTCAAATGAATCCTTACGCAATTCTCTTAAATCATTGCCGCTGAGGATTCTGAAAAAGAAAAAGGTTAGTTCTGGATCAAAATGCAAAATAACTACAACTATTTACTACACAGAAATACACATATGGAGAAACCTGGGTAATGGTGCCATCAAACTACCCCAACTTTTATTTAAGGATGGTGATCTGTGCTCTGTTTTTCTTCAAACCTTTCTTCTCATGTCCTCCTTCGGGTCCCTCTCTCTCCATCACACACACACTCACGGACTCCTGTTCACTCTTCTGACCAAATCGTGTATGTAGAGCATACTCTCTAGATCACAGACCCTCTGTTAGAACCTAACTCTGGGTGGTACCACCATTGGCAGAACTGCCATTTTCTCCTCTCTTTTCCCAAATATCATTAGGAAAGCCCTATACAGAACTATATCAGATCTGCAAGTGATTTGATTATTTCCCCCATTAAGACATTCTTTTCAAAACGAACAAGGGCATAAAATAAATGCATCCAAGATAAATACAAATACCCAGAGAACACCGTTCCTGTCCAGAGAGAACACCCCCAGCATCCCGGAAGCCCCCAGCGTACCCCTCTCCAACCACAGCTTTTTCTCTGACTCCCTTGAAGTATGTTAGCAACAACCTGAGTATGTGATGCTGCTTTATTTTATTTTTGTAGTATATTTTATTGGTTATGTTATTACAGTTGTCCCACTTTTTCCCTTTGATCGCCTCTACCCATACCCCCCTTCCCTTTAGCAATCCCCTCCTTAGTTCAGGTTATTGGGTCACGTGTAGAAAGTTCTTTGGCTTCTCCATTTCCTGTACTATTCTTAACATCCCTCTGTCTATGACTTTTTCGACTGTAAATTTATAGAATCTAAATATGAATCATCCTTCTGATAAAAAAAAGTTAGCAACCAAATTGAGATTTCACGGACTTAGTATGGGAAAAAGAATGTAAACTTTCTCATCAACAGTTTTTACATTGACTACACCTAGCAATGACAATACATTAGATATTTTGAACACTGACTGTGAAAAAATGTGGAATATCCTATTAATAATCTCTATAATTATTATATGTTGAATGCATCAAAGACCCTGACCTCAATGTGAAACTCACCGCATTACAAGAAAGAGCAGCAGTGGTCAGAGTATGTTTGAAGGGGGGGATGGTCGGAGGGGATGCTGTGACCGATTGTTTGCTCACCTCCCTTAGGTAATGGTTTCGTATTTCCATGGAAATGGTCCGAAAAGGAAAAAAATCAGTATGTCCAACAATGTTTATAGTAAGCCTTTTCATAAATAGAAAAAATGGAAAAAATTGCGCCTCCCTAAATCACTTTACAAAACTGTATGTGTATAATATAGCTGATAAACAAAAAGGTCATAGGAATTAATAGTATACAAAAAAAAATAAGGGCCAAAATCAAAGTTGTATATACTAATTTGAACTGTAAACATTATAAACCTGAGGAGGATTCAGTAAGGACAGAGAAGAAATGGGGGCTAATCCTCAGCTGCTTCCAGCAGGTCTTCCCTGGTTGGCTGGTCCCAGGTCAGGCTGTTGCTGAGGCTGAATATCACGGTGAGATGGGCAGCAACTAAAGGGTGCATGTATGTTAAATGAATGGGGTTTCTCTTTGTGGAGTTGTTTGGATGACAGGAGAATAAAACATTTTAAAGGACAATCACAAATTAAACCTGAAAAGAAAGTTTAGACTTTCCCGAGAATGCGTCAGTCATCGTCAATTGCCTCCCAGGAAACAGCTTCAAAGAAGCAACTATCTAGTGTAAAATACACTGATCTGCAAAACTTCAAATATTCATTTTGACTCGAGAAAAAAATTTTAAACTGTAGGGAATAAGAGTTAAAGCCAGATTTAAAATCCTATCACGTCATGAAAATGTCAAAACTAGGCATGAAGTAACATTTCAGAAATACCCGTGGCTGACTTCCAGTCGGGCTTCCTTTCACCAAAGCCAGTTCCTGAATTTCACAGCATTCACTCTTAAGTATATATTGTTGACAGTTATCCTTCGCCCCACCTCCCTAATTTCTACAAAATGGAGAGGGCTCAGATTTTTTTTTGTTTTTCTTCTCTTACTTTTCTCTTTTTTCTCTCTTCTTTCTTCTTTCTTTCTTTTTTTTTTTTTTTTTTTTTTTTGAGTATGAGTACTGTTGACACAGTGGCTTGGGTAAGGAAATATTTCATGGAGGCTTTGTAGGATCAAGGTCTATCCTTTTTAATTAATGCTGGGATAATGGAGGAAGGCACCTGTGGAGTCATTCAAGCTCCATAGTTGTTAGTTCTACAGTTAGGACTTCCCGCTTAGCTGCGAATGCTTCTTAGACCATGAAGACTATTAGGACTTAACTAAACCTAGAGTGCAAACAATAGGCCATTCCAAAATTGATTCACTTTTTCCTTCCCTGGCTTTCTTGCCAAAGAACTGACTAATACTTGAAATTATGTCTATTTATTAAACATATAATTTATGTATTCATTTTTATATTATATACTTGGAAGCCTCTTGAGAACTGAGGTATTTTGCCTATTTTGTCCTAAGACCTGTATCCCTGGCACAGAAAAAAGTTCCTGGCACATAGCAGATGTTTCATAAATGTTTGTTCGATGAATTCAGAAAGTGACAGGCATCAGTTTTCAGTATGCTACTTTTATTTAAAACAAACCATCCATTTATCATCACTCGTGAGGTCAAGAACAGCTTTATAGAAAAAGAAATGTCTTTCTTCTCCCCTACATTTGGGACTCTTAATCTTTTGAGACAGAAGCCCCGTGAGAACTTCCTAAGAGCTATGAACCCTTCCCCTAGAAAACTGCATTTTCTTCAATACATGCAAAAGTGTGCATGTAATTTCCATTTGCGGATTATGCCTTCAAGGCAGAGGTCAGTGAATAGGATTGAATGGATTGACTTCAGGGGCCAAAACTGAATGGGAAGTAAAATTAAATCTCTGTTTTCACAAACCTCTAACTAAAATTAGCATTGCCTTACATTATGAATGTGGGTAACTAACCAATTAGATTAGCAGTATAGTAGTTACTTTGGTCCCAAATAGAAATCACAGATATTTTTATATCACATATTTGCAGATATCATTCTCAGCATTCCTTTGAATTAGACCTGCCACTATAGCTTGTTACTTAGTATGTGAAGAGAAGTAGATTTATTACTGTATCAATTTTGAAAACTGTATATCAATAATAGTTTCCCTTTATTTTCTAATTAGCTTGTAAATCATTTAAAAACATAGTCCCCAAGAACAGAGGCTTCTGCACATCACCAAGGACACTAAAGGAAAAAAAACGTTGAGAAGTTGTGTCCTGGGGGTCTAGTCACCCTGAGTTAGGAATCTTTCCCTTAAAAGGGATAAATCTCAACCTGATTTAGAAATCTTCAACATTTACTAGATTGATGTTATTATGTATAAGCTCCCAAACACATGTTGTTAAAAAATGTTTAATTTTCAACTGAAAAAAAATATGTAATGTGTATTCTCATGGCTCAACATTCCAAAAGTATATAGTACACAATACAAAGCTTTTTCTCCTATACCATCTTTCAGACTACCCCACTCCTTCTACTCCTTAGAGAAAATTAATGCTATTTACTGTTGTGCCAAATGACTTTCATTTTTCTTACAAGTTTGAGAAGTAAAATCTCTAAGTCAGATACTATCATGGGAAAAATAAACGACACGTAGTTTCAAAGAAATTCCTAAGTTAAAAAAAAACAACAGCGGCCTGGTTCTAGCATTCTTCTTTATCAGTAAGACATCACACTAAGGGAGGAATCTTAGAAGGTGATCATAAACCCTATTTTTAGGTTACTATGGTTAGTATGTCTTTTATTATTAACTTACAAGTTGTTTATGACATCTATGCAAGGTGAACTAATAATATGACAAACTGTCAAGAAAAATGCCAGTTAATTAGCTTGAATGTAAATATTTTCTTGCAAATGATTTATGTACCTAAAATGACTTTTCTACAAATCGATTTAAAAAAGAAGATTTTAAAAAATAGGCAATAAAGGACTGGGCAAACTCAGAGAAGAAATACAAATGGTCAATGTTTAAAGATATTTAAATTTACAAGTAATCAGAAAAAATTCAAATTCCGATGAGACCCCTTTTATTCACCCATTAGATCAGCCAACAAATGGAGAGTATCCAGCGGTGGAAAGGGAGAGGGAAATGAATACTGTCGTGGCTTATTAATTGGAGCATAAGTTGGCACAACTTCTTTGAGGGCAATTTAAACGTTATGTCAATATAGTCTTCGCCCCAACAATGCCACTTCTAAATATCTATTCTGCAGATATATCTACCCATCTGCAGAAATTCCTTTCACAAAGATGCATGTACAAGAATGTTTGTTGCAGGAATACATGCAACAGGAAAACTGGACATAACCTAAACATCCATCAATAGGAGGAATTATTAAACTTAATACATCCATGCTATAGAGCATTATGAGAGAGAGTTTAAATGAATTGGTAACCATGAAGGAAACAAATCTAAGACAGAGCATGACGTGAAAGGGCCAAGATGTTATCATTTATGTAAAAAAAGAAAAGAAAATTACACAACACACCTATTGTGCTATCAATATGCAGGCGAACGCATGGGAAAAGGCCTGGAATGATCCATAGGAAACTCAGAGTAGTGATTACCCTGACGGCGGGGGATGAGGGCAGAAGCAGAGTTTTCACTGTACCTGGTATTTCATTTTTATATGTTGAGAATATAATCACGTATTACTTGTTATAATGAAAAATAAGGTTAAATTGACTCTTATTTTAAAGAGGGACCGCCGAACTTAATTTTTAAAACAAACACAGAATTGGCCCTGGCTGGTGTGGTTCAGTGGACTGAGTGCCGGCCTGCAAACCCAAGGGTCACTGGTTTGATTCCCAGTGTAGGGCACATGCCTGGGTTGCAGTCCAGGTCCCCAATAGAGGGTGTGTGAGAGGTAACCACACATTGATGTTTCTCTCCCTCTCTTTCTCCCTCTCTTCCCCTCTCTCTAAAAGTAAATAAATAAAATCTTTAGAATGGAAGAGAGAGAGAGACAAAGAGAGACAGAGAGAGACAGAGAAAGAAAGAGAAAGAAAGAAAGAAAGAAAGAAAGAAAGAAAGAAAGAAAGAAAGAAAGAAAGAAAGAAAGAAAGAAAGAAAGAAAGAAAGAAAGAAAGAAAAATAAAGAGAGGAAGGAAAGAAAGAGAGAAAGAAAAATAAAGAGAGGGAGGAAGGACGGAAGGAAGGAAGGAAGGAAGGAAGGAAGGCAGGCAGGAAGGAAGGAAGGAAGGAAGTCCTGGAATCAATAGAGGTTGATCTGGGATACAAAGGTGAATACTTTTCTCACAGCTACTGATCCCAAAATTCTGGACCAAGAAGGATCTTACAATGCAGGTAGTTTTTTTTTTGTATTCATTTTTGGAGGGAATGTACTCACAGTTTCTCAAGCCCATGGTATGACTTCCATATATCTTTATCGAAATTAGAAATGGAGTTGCCTTTCAAATCCCTGTGAAGAAACACAGTTAATAATTTTAAATAAGTAGGAAAAGAATGGACAAAGTAAGTAAAACAATCATGGCAACCTTGTGGGGATTAAGCAAATGCAAGAAATACCACCTTTCTAATTTTCATAGCTATCAGCTTCCCAGTGTGCACAATAAATAAAGACTTAACGTGGGGCCACTGGCACAAACAATGAGGCATCTCCTCAGAACCTGAATTACTTATCTTGGCTAGGTAATGCAAGTTAACTAATTTGAATGCATTTTTTCCAAAATGACTTGTGTCTATAATGACTCTATGCTGTCACAAAAAGTAGACGTTCCTTCTCTCTTTCTGCTGTATAGTATTCCATAGTGTAAGTGTACCACCGTTTTTTGATCCACTCATTTCCCGATGGGCACTTAGGCTGTTTCTAGCACTTGGCTACTGTAAATAGCAATGCTATGAACTTAGGGGCGCATAAGTTCTTTTGAATTGGTGATTCAGGATTCTGACACTACATTCCCAGCAGCAGGACTGCTAGGTCTAAAAGCAGTTCTCTTTTTAATCTTTTAATGAAATTCCATGCTGTTTTCCATGGTGGCTGCACCAGTCTGCATTTCCACCAACAGTGCACTAGGGTTCCACTTTGCCACATCCTCATAAGTGAAATAAGCCAGAAGGTTAAAGAAAAATACCATATGCTCTCACTCATAAGAGGAATCCAAAAAACAAAATATACTAATGAACAAAATAGAACCATATGCATGGAAACAGGGAACAGGCTGAAAGTGACCCAAGGGGAGGGGAGAAGGGGATACTGGTGGAAAGAAGGGGAGAGGACTAGACAAAGAACAGGTAGGAATGCCCCCCAAACATGGACAAGAGTGTGGGAATTGACTGTGGGAGTGGGGAGTGGGGGGGGTGGAGGAGGACAAAGGGGGAAAGAAGTGGGGCGACTATAAAAAAATAACAATAAAATAGGATTTAAAAAATAAAAGAACAAGGCCAAAAATTGACTACTTCTACAAATCAATTAGAAATTAATAATTCAACAAAAAAATGGCAAAAATGTATAATTATCAGCAAATTAATATAAGGAAACCTTATGCCAGGCCATGCCAAAACTTTGGGTCAGGGCCCTGTGTGAAAACGTCTCCGGGTGTTAGAAGGATAATGGTAATTAGAAATTAGAAGGACTGATATGGAAAGATCTCATAGACATATTTGACAAGGAAAAGCACAAATCACTGAGCAAGGAGCAAAGTTTAACCTCTTTATGGGGAAAATTGTGAAAGAAAGAAAGAAAGAAAAGAAAGACCCAGATGGAGAGAGGTAGGGAGAGAGGAAGGGAAGAAACAGAGAAGAAAAAAGAAAGAGAGTGTGGAAGAATACACACCAAAATGGTAACAGGAGAGGTAGAAAGGGTTAGGCAGGATTTTCACATTTTATCTTATATACTTCTACGACATTAAAAACCACCACCACCACCACAACACAGTGAGACTGTATCCATGACTTCCAAGTGTTTAAAAGACGCTGTTAAACTCCTGAAGTTTGTTTTCAACCACTAATTCTGTAGCTGACTTTGAATCTTTACCTTTAGCTTTGTCTCGTTCCTTCAGCAACAACTTACCTGTTCAGTTCATATGCACATTTTTCAGGAAGGCGAGAAAGGCCAAACAGATCCCTGTCTGTCCCTCTGCATACATTCCCACTCAACCAGAGGTCTTCTGGTTGCTTTAGGCTCCCCAATAAAGAAATGCCCCAACTGAACTTACCTCCTTCACACTGGCTCTCCTTCCCAACTGCTATATGTCCACCTGTTATACCACCATCATTTGCCTCATCATCCAGGGCAGAGATTTCATAGGGTCATATTTGAGTTTTGTCTTTCTGGTACATCCCATTCCCCATCTCCAGTCAGTTACTAAAGCTTGTCAGTGTTCCCTTTAGACTGTGGCCACGATTTTCTTTCTCTTCTATCACAACCACTCTGATTCAATGCCTTCGCACTTTACTCCTAGAGTTTGCTCGAATATTCTATTGGTCTCCCTGAATCAAACTTTCCTCTCGAGATCACTGTACGTATGGAACCTAGAACGACCCTCGTATTTTAATCATCTTTCTCACTTGAAAACGTTCAGTGGTTCTCCCTATCGCAGGGCAGCTTCCAAACCCCTGGAGCCAAGATTTTTCATAATCACATTTTTTCACTGCTTCCTAAACCAGTTCTTTATAGCCAGACTGGTCTGTTAAGTCCTGATCATTCCTGCACTCATACCTTTACCTAGACTGTGCTCACTATTTTTTCTCTATGTAACAAACCATAGCCACACTTTAAGTCCCAGCTAAAGTTAGAGTTTAGCTACGCAGCTTTCTGACTTCCATACCCCAGTTACTACTGATTCTGCTGAATTATAGCCCCTCTGGCCTGTATCTCTTTTGGCATTTAATTACATATCATCTCCCTTTTTAGTCATAGTCCCTTTCTTCCCACCTATCATTGTCATGTTTCATAGACAATGTCATACTTCTGTGGCTCCCACAGTACTTAGCCCTGGTTGGACACAAAATGGGTGATATATAGAGAAGGCCAGGTAGCCCAGGGGAGTCCTGGATAGAACTGGATATCTGTTAGGCACTGTCATAAGTACTTTACACGTATTAACTCATCTAAATCTTACAACAATCCTATTAGATCATAACTATCCTAATCTTCATTTTACCGACGACAAAGTTGAGTCCCAGTGCTAATACATGGCATAACTGGGTTCAAACCCAGACCCTCTGGCTCTATAGTCTTTGTTTTTAACCACTTTGTTGTATCACCACCAATGAGATGGGGAGAGGGCCACGTTGCTGTAAAGAGGATGGAGCAAAAGTGGGAGGAGAGTAGAGATTAAGGAATAAAATCATGGAGCTAAAAGAAATCAATGAGGAAAAATAATATAAGCAGTTACAAATGAAAGACTGGAGAAGGAGGGAATGATAGTAGAGGGAGAATGAAGGTAAGGAATAGATGACAAGCAAAATAAAAACAGAAATTCAGCCAATATGGGTCTGGGAGGATGAGGAAGGCCCAGAAGACCTGGAGGAAAAGGCTGGCATGTTAGGCAGGCTGCAGAGAACTAAAGAGGAAAGGCAATTCTTACAAGACGGTGAAGTTGCTGTTGTACGTGTTGGGCTGTGGCACAGGCACTCTGTCCAGCTTCTGCTTTGCGTCAAACCCAGTACAGGACAGCGTCTCATTTTTGCAGGTACAGAGTTCACATATGTTCGTGATGACATTCTGTCCCGTCGTTGGAGGGCCTGTCTCAGCTGACACTGGTTGATGAAGTCTGAAGAATTGCTGGTCCAAAGTTTGACTTGTCATCTCAGCCCAGGTTGGCAACTCAGGGTGAACAGTTTCTGGATGTGGAAATGTGATGGAAGGGTGTTCTGGAGGAGCAGTGGTCTGCTGTAGGACAGATGGATGTTCATTTTCTGCAGTACCTTCAGGCTTTATGGTGAGCTCCATGTTCAAAATTTGACCTGTCGTCTCAGACCAGGTTGGCCGTTGAGGCCGAACAGGCTCTGGATGCGGACGTTCTTCCTCCGCGTGTTCTGGAGGAGCGGCTGGCTGCTGCGGGGCAGCTGGATGTTCATTTTCCCCAGTAGCGTCAGGCTTAATGGTGAGAACCAGGTCCGAGGGCCGACCTGTCGTCTCAGACCAGGTGGGCTGCTGAGGGCGAACAGGCTCTGGACGCGGACGTGCTCCCTCCGCATGTTCTGGAGGAGCGGCCGGCTGCTGCGGGGCAGTTGGATGTTCATTTTCCAAAGTGGCGTCAGGCTTTAAGGTCAGCTCCAGGTCCGAAGGTCGACCTGTTACCTCAGACCAGATGGGCTGCTGAGGCTGAACGGGCTCTGGTTGTGGAAGTGCTTCCTCGGCATGTTCTGGAGGAGCGGCGGGCTGCTGCGGGGCTGCAGCATCAGCCTCCAAAACAGGCTGGGATGAAGATGATTCTGTTGTTTCAGAAGGCTCTGGAGGGGCCCCCTCCCGTCTTGGAAGTTCAACCAACTCAGTAAACTTTGCAAAATAAGCTGTGACCTCCTTCGCAGTTGCCAATATTTTAATGTTCTTAGGGAACTGACGTTTCATCACATATGGCAACACTGGATATGGAGCTTTACCTGAAACTGGAGGAGAGGCTGTCACCTTAAGATAAATAGAGGTTTTCGAATGCTGAGCTGGACTCTTCTCCTGGAATGAAGTTTCTTCATTGGCAAGAGGCAGTTGCAGCAGATCCGAGCTCTTCTGCTGGACTGAAGATTCGATATGTTCAGGGGTAGTTGGATGCTCCTCTTCAAGTCCATTCACGAACAGAGATTTTAATAACTTAGGGGATACTGCAGACTGACTTGAGGCCTCTTCTTCAATAGGATATGGTTCTCCTACCTCAGAGGCTTCTGGTTCCTCAGCTGGGATCTCCTGAAGGTTTCGAGATGGTCCTTTTTCCTCAGGTGCACTGGAGGTCAGCAAGACAGGGTCCAGGGCCAGCTTCTGAAACTGAACTGGAGCTCCATGGACCAGCAGCCACAAGAGCTGACACAAGAAGAGAAGCCGTGGGGCCCAGAGGTCTACCCTGGACATGGTGGCAGAGGTCCGAGGGACACAATGAGCAACCCAGGGAACTGGGGCACAAAAAGCAACCCAGGAAAGTGGGGCACCACAAGTGACCCAGGGGAGTGGGGCACAACAAGTGACCCAGGGGAATAGGGCACAACAAATGACACAGAGAAATAGGGGCACCGAGATGCGACACAGGCAAGTGAAGCACAGTAAGTGACCCAAGCAAGTGAAGCACAGCAATGCAACCCAAGCAAGTGAGGTGCAGGCACCACGCGCTGAGCAGGAGCCAACAATTGGCAGCCGGGTCACAGTTGGCAGCCATGTCACAATCAGCAGTTGCGTCAGGCACGTGTTCCTTAGCAGCAAAGCTCCCCTTCCGCGCCTTAGGTTCCAACCTTTACTTAAGCAGCCTATATTAGTCTTGGGTTGAGAGTGACTGCAGGAGAGCGAGCCTTTTTCCCAGAATCACCAGGGACCAAGGGGTCCTTTTCCCTGCAGAGGGAACAACTACCTGCCCATGGGCCACCCCCTCTCCTTCCCCTCCCCCCTCACAATGAGGCAGAATTGGGGCTGTTTACATGGGTGGCCCCAAACTCCAGCAGTGCAGGTGTGGTAGGATGGGGGGGCGGGGTGTTAAGGGAGGTGGGAAGCTGCAGGGAGGGGGCAGGCTATGGGCGGGGAGAGGTACATGCTGCAGAGCTTCCCAAGGAAGCCACAGGGCCCGGGATACCAAGAAATTCAGAAGTGCTAGTCCAGCTCTGCAACCTGAACCTCTCCTTAAAGCTGAAATCTGAGCAACATTCCTCCTCCCTTTGGCCATACTGCTCTCAAAAATGTAGCTGACCTACCAAACAAACCCCCGTGTGGGTGGTGGGGAGGGGGACACACTTTACAGTTCTAAAATGTTGCCATTTCCTCCCAATTCTCAGTATCCACATCTGATTCTTCACTCACCACTCTTATCAGAAGGGGGCTACCTCTGAACCAGTGCTGACTCCAGGATTTCTGTAGGTGGGAGTTGGGAGGGTGAGCAATTTAGGAAATAGTGTGTGAAACCAAGTGAAAACCCTTACAATGGTATGGGCAAACACCCCCCTCCAACTGTGTTTCAACACAGCCATTAATCTAGAAAAGTAACAATGGCCCTTCTCAGAGGCCTGCCCTGTGGGCACTCATGGAGAAGACTCTTTGGGTGTTAAAGCTGGACTGTTGAATCACTTTCTTCAGACACTGTAACTAGCACCTAGTTTGCTTCCTTCACAGCTCTCTTTATATTCTTTTTTATTTTACTCCCTGATTGCTGTCTGGCACAAACTCTGGCATGTAAATTCCAAGAGAGAAGGGGCTGTATCTTAGTCCTAGTGTCTGTTACACAGTAATGGTTTTAAAATGGAACTGATTCCAGGATTGGCCTTCTATAGGGAGGGCTCTCTTGTTATATTTAGGTTTCTGGAATCTTTAGTACCTATACTGAATCTGAGGCAGGAGATAGTTAGGAAGGAGGAAACTCCAGAGGCGCCCCAGGAGATAAAGAACATGGATCAAGGGTGGAGACCCTGTCCTAAGTCTGGTAGTTTCTGCATCTGGAGAGGCATTGAACCCTAGTGAATCAGGACTGCCCCTGCACAGAAGATGCTACCTGACTCCTGCTTCATTATAATGAATTAGCATTGTGGGACCCTCTTCCCAGTAGCCAGTCAAGGAAAGGAAGGCCCACCCTAAGGAATAAAAGTCCTCTAGCCCCTGAGTTCCCCCTTTTTTTTTTTTTTTGGCCCTGCTCCAGCTGCCCCAGCTGCCCCTGCTGCTTGCTGCTGCTGCTGCTGCTGTGGCTGCTAGGCTCTTCTCCTTTCTTCTCTGATGCACTCTGCTCAGAGTTGGCCTGTTCCCATGGTCTGTGTGGCTTAATAAATCTGCTTTTCCTCGCTTTCTGCTATAAACTCTGTGTGTTCGGTTCAATTTTCTGTCCGCGATCACCAAGAACCTGGTTACCTGTGCCCACCTGTGACAAATCCCTTCCTCACATGTTTCATAGGAAGACAGACAGACTTCTTAAAGCCCGGGACAACAACGGAGCTTTTGGTTTTTGTAGTCATCAGAAGTTCTAAATTTCAAAATTCCTGCTAAGTATCCTCAGAAGTCTCACACAAGTTAAATGCAAGAAATATTCTCTTTCAAGTATGATTTAATTGTTTTAAATTAGCAAATATCCTTGATTTCAAGGTGCTGCCACAAATTTACCAAATGCCTATTCTAAATAGATTTTCCATACAATCCTTCTCAAGGTATTGGCAAAGTATGTCATAAAACCTATAGGCTAAAATAACTGAATTTTAACAATAAAAATAAACATAAAAGCCTTATTCAGCTAAATACCTCTAGCTTAAGCAAAACTAGATGATTCCAATTTTGTATTAACAGGGTGTCAGCCTTACATATCCGTTTACATTTTTCTTCTCCAAAAAACACTTACTTTCCAGTGAATAAGCCTTTTTAAATCTATACTTTTAGAAAATTAAGCTAGTAACATCAACCAATGTCTTTGCAGCTTCAACAGGTACACTCCCTACAAAGTACTCAATAGATGAATAGAAGAATGAGTTATTTCTTATACTAGGAATTTAATATGTTAGTACTTAGCCAACATTCCAGTCTACAAAAATTAATCTAAAGTACTAATAAAGTATATTCGTCTTCTAGCCTTGACACTACTGCAGGATTCCAATACATCAATCTCATTTCTCGATGTGCTTTTGGAATATCTTAAACCAGCCCTAGAATGTTATTACTTCTAAAACATGTACACATATACATATTTACCTGATGGCCTTCTCCCCAGCCTTTACTGTCTGGAAGTACAGATAAACAAACAAACAAAAAACCCAAAAACAACAAAAAAACTAATGAAACTAGTGTTTAGCCTAAACGAGTCACTGCCATGCACTGTTACTCAATCTGGGCAAGTGGACATACTCTAAAAGTAGAGAACACAAAGTATATTACCCATTTTCCCATAATCTTGAGAAATAATGTGTTTCACAAAGTAAAACATCCAACAAGTTAACACCACATCCCAAAAAGAAAAATGCCTGGCAAACAATATGAAATAGAAGCTCAAAACACACTAACTCTGCTACTAAAACCATACACTGGTGAAGCTGCCTAAAAAATCTAATTATATCAATTTTTAGTTTCCCAAATCCAAAATATTTAGAATTATGACACCCACTAAAGAATGATCAAAACTTCATCTATTACAAGTTATCACCTACTAACAGTTTTATCCAACCAGCCTCTGATGAGCACCTGCTACACGCAAGACATTTTGCTGAAAAATGCAGGGGACATGAGATGAATATAAGGATATAGAATCCTTAATTTCATATAAAGGTAGGACAAGTATACACAAGGTAGATTGAGTGTCATTAGGAAAAACAAATTGTTGCCCTGGCTGATATGGCTCAGTGGATTGAGTACTGGCCTACAAACCAAAGGGTCACTGGTTTGATACACAGTCAGGGCACATGCCTAAGTTGCAGACCTGGTCCCCAGTTGGAGGCGTGCAAAAGGCAACCACACATCAATATTTCTCTCCTTTTCTCCCTCCTTCTCCCCGCTCTAAAAATAAATTAATAAAGTCTACCAAAAATAAAAAAGAAAAACAAATGTCATGTAAGAACATCGGTATACAAGTTTGTTTTTTTAAAGGAAACCCAACCACAAATTGTAATTTAACTCAGCATATACATACCTATTTGTCCTAAGTGAATGTTAGCTCCACCCTCACGATCTCATCTAACCCTAAGTACTTGCCAAAAGAAATAGTACTATCGCATTAGGTGGCCAGGTTTCAGCATATGAATTTGGTGGGGGAGGTTATAAACATTGGACCACAGCATTTCAATTTTGGACTTCTATACACCAAAACTGTAAGGGGATATATGTTTTTTAAGACAAGTTTGGGGTAGTCCATAACAGGAGTCCTAGGCAACTAATACAGACTCCAACTGCCCCTCAGGAATGGTCTTGAAGTTCGGTCATCAGTGGGTATGAGACATCTTCTTAGGCTTCTTGATTAATAAAAAGTTAACTGAGAATGGCACATATAGGTAACTTTTCTTAATCTTTAGCAGATGAAACAATTACTTAATACCTTTACAAATGAAAATTTCTCACCCAGACCCTACAATTAACTCATAGTTTGGAGCTGGCAGGATAGACTCTGCATATTTTCAACCTTCCTGGGAGTTGTGCTATGGGTAGGTGGTCTGCAAACCACCAGAGACAAAGAACTCTTGAAGAGCCCCAGATGAGGTCAGTTAATTTCAAAACATAAGTAAAACATTGCATAGACCATAAATGTAAAAATGATGCAGTTAATCAAATGAGTTATTTTCCAGGGATTGTTAGGCAGGATAGCAAGTCAAGGCGGGGGGTGGGGGAGGACATATCTCACCCATTAACTCAGTAGTCCTGAGTCTGGTCTGGTAAGATTGCCAGGTGTTTCAAAAATCAGAAGAAAAACTATGATAATGCAGGAGGGGGAGCCCTTGGAATTCTGTATGCAACATTCCCACTATCTGGAAAAGGCTTTGAAACTGCATGTTAATGTCAAGGTCTGAAGATGGGAGGAAGAGGGTGAACCTAGAAGCTGGCTACAAGCATAAAACCCAGAATCCTGATAGGCAGTACACTCAGACTAGCTGGGTACCTCCTTGCAGCTTCATGCTCAAGTGTATTTCATAAGTAAACTTGCTATTTCCACTATACATGTAGTCTTCTTATCTGAATTCTTCTCTTGTGAGACAAGAACTGAGGGGGAGCCCCCTAACTATATTCCCTATACTGTACTTTATATCACCATGACTATTTTTATAACTGTGTATATGCACTGCTTAATCAAAATCTAAATAACTGCTTTAAACTATTAGTAAGATATATTATACAGATGCTGTATGTTGTATATATTAAGACCAAAATATCCAATTTTATTTGCCCAGCATTTCAGTCAGTATGTTTAGGAA